TCAGCCTGGGGCAGAGGGTGGGGGTCGGTGCAGCCCCTACCTCTCCGGCCCTCCTTCCCAGAATCACAGAAGGGCCAGGGTTGGGAGGGACCTCAAGGATCACGGATCTCCAACCCCCCCACCGCAGTTAGGGTCACCAACCTCCACATTTAATACTTGACCAGGCTGCCTGGTCCTTCTCTTCACCGCAGCAATCCCACATTTAATGCAATTCTTCCCTTTTTTCCATAGGGGAGGATGGGGCAGGGAGGGAAGGGGAGAGGCGGCAGCAGCACTGCAGCTGCAAAACAAAGCGCAGGGGGGGGGCTGAGCAGCACCGCAGCGTGGAGCTGAGGTTGCAGGAGCTGGGGCAGTTTGTCCCAGGCAGTGCTCATGGTTCCAGCCTTCCATTCCACGCTCTATTCTACCTCCTGCTGTCCTTGCAGCACAGTGCCAGCCCAGCCAGCGGCCCCTGCCTTCATCCCACGCTCTTCCTCGCTCGCCCTCTGGATGAGCTCTCCTCACTGACTCAGGAGAATGACTGATGAGCATAGGTGCCAAAATCACGATCTATCGTGGAGCTGTAGGGGCTGGAAGGGACCTCAGAGCTCACGGAGTCCAGCCCCTGCACAGCAGCTCCCTGCAGCAGGCTGCGCAGCTCGGCGCGCAGGAAGCTCTGCGATGCCTGCAGAGAAGGAGAACCCGCGGCCTCCCTGGGCAGCTCAGCGCTGTGCCGCCCTCACTGTGAAGGATCCCTTCCCACATCGGTGCAGACCTTCCCACGCTGCGCTTCGTGGCCGTTTCCCCCGTCCCGTCCCCACGCAGCGCTGAGAGGAGCCTGGCCGTGTCCCTTTGACAACCACACTCAAGAGATCTACGGACACTGATCCGATCGCCTCCCAGCCTTCCTTTCTGGGGGCTGAAAGCCCCGGGTCGCTCAGCCTGTGCTCACAGGAGATGCTTCAGGCCCGCATCACCTCTGCGCCCTCCGCTGCATCTCTACAGGAGATCCCTGTCGTTTTGAACGGAGTCCAGAATCAGTCCGGATCAGAACCAGAGCCCAGTGTTCCAAGCGTGGCCCCACCAGGGCAAAGCAGAGACGGGGGGATCGCCTCCCCTGCCCTGCTGGCCACGCTCCCCTTCATGCTCTTAATGCCCCCAGATCCCGCTGGCCCTCCTGGCCACCAGGGCACACAGCCCTCAGCCGACCTGTCGCCCACCAGGAGCCCCAGGTCCCCCTCTGCAGAGCTCCTCTCCAGCAGCTCGACCCCAGTGCAGTTATTCCTCCCCGGCTGCAAGACTCTGCCCTTGCTCTTGTTAAACCCCATCCGGTTTCCTTCTGCCCAGCTCTCAGCCTGCCCACGGCTTGTCGCTCAGCACTCAGCCCTCATTTCAGAGCATCCCACCAGTTTGGCTGCCTGTCCTTGGCTGACACCGATGGGTGGGAGATAAGGAGGATGGAGAGGAACATCTCTGCCCATCGCATCCCAACCTACACCCGGAGTGAGACAGCTCAGCCTCGGGTGGAGGCCCCGGCTGCTTCTCTCTTCCATTACTGTGTTTCTCCTGCTGAAGATCCCCTGTTAGAACAGAATGCCTTCCAACACGCCTTCCAGTCTGTCGCGCTGCATCCACTACCAGCCATGATATCTGCAGGCTGCTGCAGCTCTGCAAGGGAGAGCCCAGCGTGTAATGCAACGATGCAACAGCCCTGTTCCTACAAATGGGCCACTAGAAGGCACTGTGAGCCTGCCGCTTCAAATCAACGCACGGCCGATGGGGGAAAGTGCTTCTCTTGAAGGCAACCACAGCAACAGCCAGAGGGGTTGATGGGGACATTGCACCAGAGGGGTTGATGGGGACATTGCAAAGCGCAGCATCTGTTCGTGGTGCAGAGCGCTTCGGCAGGTTCGCACCGTGCTGAATTTGTGTTCCTCGTGCCTGCAGTCCTCGCTCTTTCCATGAGCTGCAGCACCAAAAGCCCGTTCAGCACCTGCCTGAAATGCTCGGACTGTTCCCTCCTTCTGAGCACACGGCGATGGCTGTGCCCGCATTGCCTTGGCGGCGGCAGTCACTGCGCATCCCGCATTACGTTTCCTTGAGTCAGAAAAGCGCTTCCATCGAGGAATCCTCACCATCTCCCAGTGGTTCCCCTGTCGCTCGGCCCAGCGGCACGGCCAGCCTCCGTCAGTCACACTGCTGGCTCACAGGTGGCTCCGCGTTGCTGCTCTGTGAGTCCGGCAAATTGCTGCCTTCCTTCTCTTCCACCAGCAGGGCTCTCTGTCGAGAAACTTGGTGGCCATTTAAACCCAGGAATTCAGTGAACTCGCAGCCCATGGCGCGCAGCCCTCTGCTGTCGTTGTGGCATCTTATTATCGCGCAGCAAAGCTCCACCCTGCCGTGGAGGCCCCCACTCAGGCTCAGGAGCTGACAAACCCCCACGACTCGCTGGGCTGCTCTCTGGGTGAGAGGTGGGTTGTGGTTTTGCAGTAGCAGCTTCCAGGATTTTCTGCACGCAGTATCAGCCTTTACTGAACTCCTATGTGAAACAGTTGGTTTTCTTCTGCTAAGCTACCGAGCAGAGTAAAAAGTTAACGATTTGGGGCGCTCTGAGTGGGGTAGAATTGAGCCAGGCAAAACGTGAGGCAAATACAGAGGGTGGAGAGAGAGCCCAGCACGGGCCAGCAGAACGTGTTGCTCATTCTTGGAATCATTGCCCTCCTAATCCGTGGAAAGCACAAATTACACCAAAGACACGACGTGTTGGTGACTGGGCTGACGTGGAGGTGAATCAGAGCAGCGGCGCGGGGCAGACCGTGAGCCTGAGGCGCTCAGCCTCTGAGCAGCAGCAGAGCCGCACTGCGCCGCCTGGGGCCACGGGACGCCGCCGACAGGCGCGACTCCTCCCTGCCAACCCTGCAGCCATGAATGAACACGGCTGCTGCCACCAACATCCCTAACCTGAAATCTGGGACTCGGACTTTTTCTCACGCCTGTTAGCAGCGCCCAGCTTCGCTGAGGCTTTGCTCCCCGTGTCGGGGTTTTCCTACTCTCCTGCTGCAATCCGGAAGGCGAACGCCACGCACTCATTGCTTAACTTGGCCAGTGGGTTTGCTGCCACCGGCTGCGCCTTCAACAGTCCCATCAACTGCCCCCCAGCCTTGGACCAAACTGTCGCTCCTCCCATCCATCATTAAATCAGCAGGACTGGGCTGCTCTCCTTGGGTTCACAGTCAGTGAATGATCCAAACTCCAAGAAGCGATCTGCTGCTCACAGGGCGCTGCTTCACCCACCTCCTGCTTTTAACTTCCCTTCTATCGGCTGCATTTTGGCTCTGCCAGGCGTCCCCGACCCCGCACAGCTGGGTGAACCTGATTGAGATTTCTGTAACTTCTGGGGGTGCAACGCTGTTTTTCCCAGCTTGAAGCCAGACTGAAAACTTCCGATCTGTTGTCTTGTTTTACCCTTGCCCCTTTTTTTTTTGCATTTGACTGGTAAGACTTTCCCCGTCGGCCAGTAGCTCCTGCTGCTGCCCCAGCAGCCACCCGCGGCGGCAGCTCCCCGGCAGCCAGGCTCTGCCCGCTGACCCGCAGGCTTTGCCGTGAAATGGCGACAGCCGCTCCGCCGCCGCCGGGCCGCTCGCTCCTCCCACGCCGCTCGCAGCGCCGGTTGGGGCCGCCGGCTCCGGCCGCCTTCCGGGCGGCGTTTCGCAGGACTCGAGCGCTCTTTGGCTCCGGGTTTCGCGCTGATGCTCAGGAGAGCCGAACGCGGCCCCGAACAGCCCAGCCTCCTGGCCGGCTCTGCAGCCTGTGCTTCCATCGGCTGCTTTCATCTTTCCCACCCGGCCCCTCGCCTCGCAGTGCGATCTGCTGATTCGCTCCATACGGCTCGCTGAGCTGCTGGCAGTCTGTGCGATAAAACGAGTTCCCCGGTGGGAGGATGTTATTGCAGGAGCCACCAACCTCGGAGTCATCGGCAACAGGGCTCTGGTTGCTTCTTGGGCTTCGTTGGTCCTGCAGGGAATGGTGCTGCTGCCTGAAAAGGCACTCAGAGAATGGCAGAATGGCAGAATGGCAGAATCACAGAATGGCAGAATGGCAGAATGGCAGAATGGCCGAGGTTGGAAAAGGCCTTTGAGATCCAACCGTCCACCCGTCACCAATATTCTCTGTAATCCTCGTCCCTCAGCACAAAATCCAGACGTTCCTTGAACTCGGGGCTCGGTGACTCCATCGCTCCCTGGCAGCCCATTCCACTGCCTGACCTCTCCTGCTATTTCCTATATTTCCTAACGTCCAGCCTGAAGCTCCCCAGCGCATCCGGAGCCCATTCCCTCCGGTCCTATCCCTGCTACACGAGAGCAGAGGCCGACCCCCCGCTCCCTTCAGGCAGTTATGGGGAGCAACCAGGTCTCCCCCGAGCCCCCCCTTCTCCAGGCTGAAAGCTGCACCGGTTACAGCCAGCATAGAATGAAACCCTCCATTTCCGTGGCAGTTCTGAGAAGGATCCATCTGCCATTGTTGCCCTGGAAGGTTCCCTTCCTAACGCCCTGCTCGTGCCCTGGTTCTGCCACCAGGTTCCTGCACTGCTTGGTAGCGTCTGCTCCCTCAGTGTTTGATTGCGTTCCCTTAGGACCAATTTCCATAAAATACTAAAGGGCAGCGTGTCGTCTGCATACGCACCCGTCTGTCATCTGCTTTCCGCCCTTCTAAATCACTGATTAGATTCCCGTCCTCTCTAAAATACTTTAATAGAATCGCAGAACCACAGAATGGCATGGGTTGAAGAGGCCAAACGGAGCCAGGGGAGGCTGAGGTTGGATGTAGGAGGAAGTTTTTCACACAGGCGGTGAGGCACCGGCACAGGCTGCCCAAGGAGGCTGTGGATGCCCCAGCCCTGCAGGCGTTCGAGGCCAGGCTGGATGTGGCTCTGGGCAGCCTGGGCTGCTGGTTGGAGACCTGCACACAGCAGGGGTTGGAACTGATGATCATTGTGGTCCTTTTCAACCCTGGCCATTCTGTGAGTCTATGATTCCATGGGTCTTTACGGCGCCCTATGGGTCCCTCCGAGTCTCGCTTTTTGCGCATGCGCACATCCGAAGGACCCGCGCACGCGCCCCTCCCCCTTGAGTGAAGGCAGCGCCGTGCGGAGCGTGCGCGGCGCATGCGCAGAGAGCGGCGCGGCCAGGCCGCGAGGGGAGCCGGGCTGCCATGAGCGCGGCGGAGCCGCAGGGCGCCGGGCTGCGCTTCGCCGAGCGGGAGCTGAGGCGGCACGGATGGACGCAGGGTGAGCGCCGGCCCGATCGCTCCCGCTGAAGCGGCGGGGCGCGGCGGCTGAAGGGTGTCTCTATCCGCAGGCCGCGGGCTGGGGAAGCGGGAGGACGGCATCGCGCGGCCCATCCGCCCGAGCATCAAGTGCGGCACCGCGGGGGTGAGCGCGGCCTTCAGACCCCCCCCAGCCCCCGGATCGGCCCGCCGCCGCTCCTCACCCCCGTCCTTCACCGCAGGTGGGGCACGACGCTGCCGAGCAGTTCTCCTTCCACTGGTGGGATCACGTCTTCAACGAGGCGGCGGCCAACATCGCCGTGCGGGACGGGCAGGTGCGGGGCGGGGGGGGAATCATTGCAGCCCTTCTGAGCGGTGCGGGCCCTCCGCAGAACCTCTGAGTGCTGCCTGGAGCCCCCCCTCCCCTCCCCACTGCTATCCGGAGCTCACAGTGCCATCTGCAGCCCCTCGCTAACTGCCCAGTGCCACCTCCAGCCTCTCCCAGTGCCTCCAGTGCTGCCTGCAGACCCTGAACATGCTCCCAGTGCCACCCAAAACTCCCCACAGCCCCCTGCTGCCATCTGCAGCCCCTCAGTAACCCCTGTTGCTGCCCCCTCCCCCCAGTACTGCCTTGAGCCCCTCCCAGTGCCCCCCCAGTACAGCCTGCAGGCCCCAAGCACGCTCCCAGTGTCCCTCCAGTACTGCCCAGAGCTCCCTGGTGCTGCCTGGAGCCTTTTAGCACAATCCCAGCGCTCCCCAGTATTGCCCAGAGCTCCTCCTGGTACCCCCGGTTCCACCTGTACCTCCCCAGTGCCCCCCACTGCTATCCTGGCGTGGTCCTGGTGCCCCTCGTACTGCCTGTAAGATCCCAGTGCCCCCAGCATCGTCCAGGGCTGCCTAAACCTTGGAATACAAAGCCGTGTGCCCCCCCAGTACTGTCTGGGTTCCCCCTTTGGCTTTCTGGAGCTCCCGGTGCCCCCCGTTGTGCCTAAACGCCTCCATAACAGTGCAGCAAGGCTCTGGGCTGTGACCAAGTGCTCCGTTCCTTCTCTCTGCCCCCTCCTCCCCCCCCAGGACGGGGTCTGCGTGGAGGCACGTTCAGAGCAGCGCTGTGGGCTCAGCACTAAGAAGCCCCACAAGGTCCCCCCCCCGGGCAGCACGCTGTATGGCCACTTCATTAAGGTAACGACCCTGGAGCGGTGCTGCTTCCCAGCCTGCTGCTGCTTGCACCCCCTCCCGTTTCCATGCCCCCCTTCCTCCTTCTGTTTCCATGCACCCCTTTTCAATGCCTCCAGTTCCACACCCGCCTTCTCCACGTTCCCCATTTCCATTCTTTCCCATCTCCCCTGTTTCCATGTCCCAGTTCCGTGCCCACCTTCCCCCTTCCACCTTTTTCACCTCACCATTTCCATGATCCCTTATCTCCCCTATTTCCGTGATCCCTTATCTCCCCTATTTCCATGCCCCTCAGTTCCACACTCGCCTTTTCCACCCCATTTCCATGCTCCCATGTCCCCCCCCGATTTCCACACCCTTGTTTCCAAGCTCCCCTCTCCCAATTTCCACACCCCCTACTTCTATACTCTTTTATTCCCACCCCCTATTCCCCCCATATCCGTGCTCCCAGTTCCACACGCACTTTTTCCATCCCACCATTTCCATGCCCCCTTTCCTTCCCATTTCCGTGCTTCCACACCCTTCCATTTCCACACCCTCCTCTTTCCATGCTTCCCCATCCCCCCATTTCGATGCCTTCATTTCCACACCCACTTTTCCCATCCCATTTCCACACTCCCTGTCTCCCCCATTTCCACCCCCCCCCATTTCCACCCCCCCCCATTTCCACCCCCCCCCATTTCCACCCCCCCCGTTTCCACCCCCCCCCGTTTCCACCCCCCCCCGTTTCCACCCCCCCGTTTCCACCCCCCCCGTTTCCACCCCCCCCCATTTCCACCCCCCCCCATTTCCATCCCCCCCATTTCCATCCCCCCCATTTCCACCCCCCGCATTGCCTACCCCCATTTCTCCCCCCCCCGTTTCCACCCCCCCCCCGTTTCCACCCCCCCCCGTTTCCACCCCCCCCCGTTTCCACCCCCCCCCATTTCCACCCCCCCCCATTTCCACCCTCTCCTTTCCCATTCCACCTTTTCCTCCCCTCTATTTCCTCGCCCCCTGTCCCCCCCAATTCCATGCCCCTTTTTTCCACGCCTCCATTTCCTCCCCTCTCTTCTGACTCCTCCTAATCCCCCCCCCCCCCCAATTCTCCCCGCTCCCCTTTTCCACGCAGGCAGCCACGCTCACGGCCCATGGGGAGGAGCCCACCAAGCAGCCGGGGGGCTCCGAGAGCAGCGAGGAGGAAGAGGAGGACAAACCGGACCGCTCTTCGGCCCAGAGGCACTGTGGCATTGAAGGGTGGGGGCAGCTGGGGGTCGTCCCGCTGCCACCTCCTGCCTGGTGACGCTGTGTCCCCTGTGTCCCCGCAGGCTGACGGATGAGGAGCTGGTGCGGGTGTGCGGGGGCCGCACGGCACACAAGTGAGCGGCTGGTTTTGGGGTGGGGGTGTCAGTGCGCTCTGGGGGGCTCCTTCCCCACCGAGTCCCTGTTGTTGCAGAGCTGCGCGGCACGGGCTGACCATGAGCGCCAAGCTGGCGCGGCTGGAGCAGCAGGAGCGCGCCTTCCTGGCTGCCAGGCAGCGCGGAGGGGGGGGGCAGCCCACGGACCCCCAGAGCGGCCCCCCGGCAGAGCTGAGGGACAGCAGGAAGAAGAAGAAGAGAAGGGAACCGTTGGCGGATGGAACTGATGTGGAGGAGCTGCGGAGCCAGGAGGCGAACGGAGGAGAGGAGGAGAGAGAGGAGAGGAGAAAGAAGAAGAAAAAGAGGAGGAAGGAGAAGGGGGAGGAGGTGGTTGAGATGGAGGGACCTGCAGAGGACGCCGGTGGGCCAGGGGAGGCTGAGCACCACCCTGGGGTGGGGAGGAAGAAGAAGAAGAAGAAGAGGCGGAGGGAGGCAGAATGAATGCAGCCACCTGGCGGGGGGGGGGGGGGGGGTCCAGAACCCCCTGTGGTGCATTGGGTGCTCAGAGGGGCCTGGGGAGCTGCCTGGAACCCAGCCCCCAGCCGGCCCTGAGGAGGGGACCAGTTTGCCGTCAGCCCATGGAGGAGCGGCGCGAAGCCAGAGCAATGCGAGGGCAGAGCAATGCGAGGGCAGAGCAATGCGAGGGCAGAGCAATGCGAGGGCAGAGCCTGCGCAGCACTGCGTTCACCAAAGGTTTTTTTGTTTTCCAATACATTTTTATTGCACCAAACAATCCTGAAGTGACGCAGCCCTCGGCGCCCGGCTCCGTACCTGGAAGCGCCCCGGTGGGGCTGCGACCGCCCCAGCGCCCAGCCCTACGGCAGCTGCAGGACGCAGTCGGTGCCGGGGTATGGAGGGAGGTTGAGGCCGTACTTCTCCTGCAGCGCCGGGGGCACAAAGCGCCCCCCCAGGAAGTGGTAGCGCCCCGAGAAATGCGCGGCTGCCTTCTTGGGGGCCGTCAGGGAGATGAGCATGTCGGGCCTCAGCCCGTCCGCCCGCCCCTTCTCCACGTCCCAGCCTGCAACACAGCCCGTGGTGGAGCGCGCTGCCGTGCGGTGCCCCCCAGCAGCGGGTCTGTGCACTCACCCGAGGGGATGTCGATGCTGGCGATGGGCACCGTGACGCCCTGCAGGGTGCTGAGGATGCTCCCGAACGGCTCCCGCACCGCTCCCTTGAAGCTGAACCCAAAGATGGCATCCACCACCAGCCCATACAGCCCGTCGATGAGCGCGGCCTGCGGCGGGGGGGAGCAGCGTGGGGTGAGGAATGGCAATGGGACCCAGCAGCGGGGGGAGGGTGGATATGGGGTGAGGAATGGCAATGGGATCCAGCAGCGGGGGGAGGGTGGATATGGGGTGAGGAATGGCAATGGGACCCAGCAACGGGGGGAGGGTGGATATGGGGTGAGGGTGAGTATATGGGGGGAGGAGCAGTAGGGTGATGAGCACTGGCAGTAAGGTGATCAGTACTGGGGAGGAGCAGTATGGAGTCAGGAGCAGTATGGGGTGAGGACCAGCAGTGGGTAAGAACCAATATAGGGTGCTGACCAGCAGTGGGGCAAGGACCAATATGGGGTGAGGATAACAGTGGGGCAAGAACCAGTAGGGTGGTGAGGACCAATGTGGGGTAAAAGCAGCAGGGGGCTGCAGGGCAGTACGGGATGAGGACCAACGGAATGAGGACCAGCAGAGGAGTGAGGATCAGCAGGGAGGTGAAGAGCAGTGCGGGGTGAGGACCAGAATGGGGTGGTGATGACGGCTGGCGAAGGGTGAGGAGCAGCGGGGTGGAGCGGGGCAGTGTGAGGATCAACACGAGGTCAGGCCTGGCAGAGCGGGGGAGCAGCAGGGTGGCAAGGAGCGGAACGGGGGGCGAGGAGCGCTATGGGGCGAGGAGCCATATGGGGCGAGGAGCGATATGGGGCGAGGAGCGATATAGGGTGAGGATCAATATGGGGCGAGGCCTGGCGGGGGGGTGCAGCAGCACGGCTGAGGCCCAGCAGGGCCTGCAGGACGCAGCCACGGCCCCAGGGCGTCTGCTCACCTCCGCCGGGAAGTCGGTGAGGAAGGGGATGTCCATCTTGTGGCACTGCGTGGTCAGCGCCTCGAAGAGCGGCTTGCTGGGCCGTTTGGGGTAGTGCACGGTGGGGTGGTAGCCCTGCGGGGACGGCGCTGCTCAGCACTGAGCTGGGGGGGCGCGGAGCCCTGAATGCAGCCCCCCTTCGGGGCACTCACAAACATTTTCAGGTGCCGGGCGCACACCAAACCGTCGCCGCCGTTGTTGCCCGGCCCGCAGAGCACCAGCACGGCCGGGGGGCTGGTGGGGAAGGAGTCGGGGGGGTACGCCTGGAGGAGGGGGGGGCGTCGGGTTGGGCCGGGCGGTGGGGGGTCACCCCGCAGCCCCCCCCCGCCGTGCTCCCACCTTGGCGATGGCGGTGGCGCAGCTCAGCCCCGCCAGCTCCATCAGTTGGTCCACGCTGAATTTATAGTCGGTGAAGAGCTCCTGGTCGATGGCCTGAGCCTCCTCCTGCCTGGGGGGCGGGGGGGGACGTGAGACCCCGGTGCTGCGGGGTCACAGCGCTGCCCTCCGGCACCACAAACAACGTGGGGTTGGGGGCGCTCTGCATCCCACACCCCCCCCCCCCCCTGCGCCTCCCACAGCGTGGCCCTACGGCCCCCGTGCCCCCATATCCAAAGAAGCGCAGCCCCCCCTCCGGTGCACCCCCTCTGTACACCCCCCTGTGCCCTCTGTACCCGGGAAAGCACCGCTCCCCCTGCACGCCCTATGCAACCCCCGTACACCCCCCATACACCCCCCACTGCCCCATCACCCCCATACACCCCCACTGCCCCATCCCTGAGCCAGCACGGCCCCACACCCCGTTCCCCCTGCACTCCCCTATAGCCCTCCCGGCCCCATACTCGAGGTACTGCGGACCCCTTTGCACCCCTTCGCGCTCCCCCGTGCCCCCCCGCTGCCCCGTACCCAAGGCAACGCGGTCCCCCCGTACCGCCCTACCCACCCCCCCCCATACCCCACCTCGCCCCATACCCGGCCTACCGCGGACCCCCCCGTAGCCCCACCGTCCATCCCGGAGGAAGCCCCGTCCCCCGCACCGTCTCGCCCTGCTCCCCCCATTCGCCGCCCTTTACCCCACTCTGTCCCCCGCCCCCCCGTCCCGTACCCGAGGTACCGCGGCCTCCCCTCGCTCTGTCCGTGCATGGCGCGCTGCGGGGAGCGGCCCCAGCCCCAGCCCCACTCCGGACCCCAGACCCGCCTCGGGCAGCGGCCCCCCGCCGCCACCAGCAGCCCCAGTCCCCAGCCCAGCCCCCAACCCAGCCCCCAGCCCAGCCGTGCCCGCATGCGGCGTAGAGGAGCGGGGACGCGCACGGCGCACGCGCGGAACGGAGCGGGCGGAGCTGCGGGGAGCGGCGCGGTGCTGCCCTGCAGCGGTCGGGCGGTGCGGGGTTCCGCTGAGTTGTGCTGCGCTGCGTTGGGTTGCACTGCGTTGTATTGCATCGCGCATTGCTGGGCTGTGTTGCGCTGCATTACTTTGTGTTGCACTGCGTTGCGCTGCGTTGCTTTACGTTGTGCTGCATTGCATTGTGTTCTATTGTGCTGTGCTTTGTTGCTTTGTGTTGCATTGCATTGCAATGTTGTGTTGCACTCCATTGCTTTGCATTGCACTGTGCTGCGTTGCATTGCATTGCAGGGTGTTGTATTGTGCTGCATTGCTTTGTATTGCGCTGTGCTGCGTTGCTGTGTTGTACTGTGTTGCACTCTGCTGTGCTGTGTTGCAGTGCATTGCATTGCATTGCAGTATTGTTTTGTGTTGCATTGCTTTGCACTGCGTTGCACTGTGCTGTGTTGCACCACTTTACACTGCATTGCTTTGCACTGCGCTGTGCTGTGTTGCCCTGTCATGTTGCACTGCAGTGTTGCACTCTGTTGCACTGTGCTGCACTGCTCTGTGTTGCACTGTATTGTAATGCCTTGTGTTGCACCATACTGCTCTGTGCTGCACTGTGTTGTGTTGCATTGCAGTGTTGCACCACATTGCTCTGTGTTGCACCGCATTGTGTTGCATTGCTGTGTTGCATTGATCTGTGTTGCACTGTATCGTGTTGCATTGTTCTGTTGCACCACAATGTGCTGCATTGCTCCATTTTGCATTGCTCTGTGCTGCATTGCTCCATGTTGCATTGCTGTGTTGCATTGCTCTGTGTTATACCATGTTGCTCCATGTTGCACCGCATTATGCTGCATTGCTCTGTGTTGCATTGCTCTGTGTTACAACATGTTGCTCTGTGTTGCACCGCATTGTATTGCATTGCTCTGTGTTGCACTGCACTGTGTTGCATTGCTCTGTGTTGCACCGTGTTGTGTTGTATTGCTCTGTATTGCATTGCACTGCACAGTTTTGCTCCTTGTTGCATTGCTCTGTGTTGCACTGCACTGTGTTGCATTGCTCTGTGTTGCATTGCCCTGTGTTGCATTGCCCTGTGTTGCATTGCTCTGTGTTGCATTGCCCTGCATCGCTTTGCCCTGCACCGCTTTGCTCTGTGTTGCATTGCTCCGTGTTGCTCCATGTTGCTTCATGTTGCTTCGTGTTGCTTCATGTTGCGTTGCTCCGTGCTGCATTGCTCTGTGTTGCTCTGTGCTGCATTGCTCTATGCTGCATTGCTCTGTGTTGCTCCGTGCTGCATTGCTCTGCGTTGCTCCCTGCTCACCTCAGCGAAGCAGCACAGACGGAGACCCCTGAGATGAAGCCCCCTCCCGCCCCTTCCTGCTCTCCACAGCCCTGAGCCTCCGCTCTGCTCCTGGGGCCTGGGGTGCACGCCCCCCCCCCCCCCCCCCCCCACCCGCCCCTTCTGCCCCTTTGTCTGCTCTGATTGGTCGGCGCTCGGCTGGCCGTGAGGCGGCGCTGCGCCCAGGTTGCCCAGAAGGCCAGCAGTTTTCTGCTTGACCGACGGCTGACAAACCACTGACGGATGGTTGACCAACAGTTGACCAACAGTTGACCCGTGGTTGGGCAACGGCTGATGAGCGGCTGACTGATGGTCTGCCAACGGTTGACCAATAGCTGACCAGTGGTTGACCAACAGTTGACGGATGGTTGACCAATGTTTGGTTGGCCAGTGGTTGACCAACCATTGATCAATATTTGGCCAATAGTTGACCAACAATTGAGCAATGGTTGGCCAATGGTTGACCAGCAGTTGACCAATGGTTGGCCAATAGTTGACGAACAATTGACCAGTGGTTGGCCAATGGTTGACCAGCAGTTGACAAAGGCCAGCACTGTGCCCAGGTGGCCCAGAAGGCTTTTGGGATCCCAGCTGAGTCAGGCCTGCATGGCCCCATGAGGGCCGGCTCTGCTGATAGGTAACAATGGTGGGACAAGAGGAGCTGGGCTCTCAGTGCGGCTGGGCAGTCGGGCGGCACCTTGGGATCGTTTCTTCTCCCCGAAAGCAGCCACTGAAACTGCCCAAGAAGGGGAAGGGGGTCACCGTCCCTGGAGACG